ATCAATATTTGTAAGTTTGAGGTCAAATTTTGATCACAACTCATACAATTTTGTTTATTATACTTGTTAATATTTGTTTTATGAATCATGATTGGACAAAGTTTTTTAAAAACAAAAGATGTTCCTTTTATATATAAACCTGTTATTTTGATTTCGATTAATTTCCCTGAAGAAGTTCGGACCAGATTTCCGAACGTAGGAAACGTTGGAATTACTCATTTCAGTATCACTGAGATTTTACAAATATAATTTTTTACAAATGTCTACTTCTCACTTGGCGCCCAAATATTATAGAACTATTCTGTCAAATCTTGACTACAGTTCATTTGAGAATTTAAATTGTTTACAACCTGCTTATTTTCAAGTTTCTACTAAACGTACAGTGAAAAGGCATCCCAATAAATGAGATGACCACTCCTGAGTTGTATCCCTTGTTCACCAATATTACTCGTGAACATTTTATAACTGGCATTCGACAACAAAATATCGCCGTATACTTATTTCTTGAAGGGGGTAAAGAAGGAATATCATATTTGGTGGATTAGTTTGTGCTTCAAGTTGTGGTGAGAGCGGGCTAGCCAAAAATGGTAGACAGCATTTTACGTCAATGGGTATGTCGCAAATATTAGTGGTGAGAAAATATGAACAAGACTGATTCAACAATCAATCACAGCAGACTTGGCGTAGGCAGATGCAGTTAACATATAGATGATCTGACATTCAAGAAACAGTCACAAGGAGATGCACAGTTAACTTTCTGTAAGAAACAACCAATAAGAAGACTGTGTTTATCTGCTTGAATAAGATATAATAATGTACATGAAATATATATAAATACGTGTTGATCTCCTTTAGAAACGATCTGTTGCCTGACTCTTGTCTTTTGTCGTTACAAGGTCATGTAGAAAGAACTGTGTCACGCGATCTACTGTCAAGCAATCTTTATCTGAAGATCGTGGATGAAGAGTAGCTACCATGCAATAAACTCGGCTGAAAATTCTATATAGAAAATCTAAAATTCAATTAAATAATATGGAAAATACTACTACCAATCAAGTCGAGAGATGGAAAATAATGATGGGATTATATCAACGAAGTTAGAAAGCTGTGTGTAAATAGTACCTTGATATGATTATGAGCAGGAATAAATTGTGCTCGAAACGTGGTCATCAGTAAATATTACTGTACAACACTGTGTGATTTTATCAAAATAAATTTTACCCATTATTGAATTATACTCTACCACAATGTACAAGTTCTATTCTTATATCAAGGGTAGAAGTACTGTGGATGCTGGTTCTGTCTCACATCACAACACTGTCTCCTCTTTAGACAAAAACGCCAAATCTATACGTTGTACCTTTCTCGACTACTCATCTGATTTCGACTCTGTACTTAGCTGCCTTTTACTGAATAAGCTTTCCCTTAAACAAACTGAGTCCTGGGCTGTTATAACTGATTGCATTCTTATTTCCCTAATACAGTGCAGTATATTGTATATGAAGGCAAATCTTTCTCTGCCTTTCTTACTGAAGCTGGAATTCCTCAGGGTTCTGTTCTCTCTCTTTATTTTTCTTCTTACATTACTTACCTCTTCGGATGAAATCAACTTCATCGAATACTCTGATTATCTGACTGTCTGAAAATTAGTAGCTTTTCGTTCAATATCAAACACTTTTCTAAGCTAAATGGTTGTACGTGAAATCCCTCCAAATGCCAAAAGCCATAAACGTGATCTACAAGAACTGGTCTGTTCACATAAAGCAGTTGCACAGAGGGCACTGAAGCAGAAACTAAGTAAAGCATTAAATACCTTGGAATAATTTTACAATGTGGAATTTTTTGCTTATCCCATATCTTGTTAACTTCTAAGAAAATATTCCGTCTAACTTACTTCATTAAGAAGTTAAGCCAATCTGGATTCAGTCTGTCTTTACATTTACAAGTTAATTGGTGGGTGGTGACTAAACGTGAAGTCCAGGATGAGCATTTCTTCCTAGTTGGGATTTGTCAGCTGGATGTACTTGCATTCCTTAGAAAGTGATGAAGTTGACATGTCAACCTGAAGCCGACTACTTCAGTCCAGTCAATCTACGGGAAAGTCTAAAATTGAATTAAATAATTAATATAACTCGTTGCACAAGAGGTGGCTGTCGTAGCCCAAGTGGTCGTCTAGCGGATAACGCTTTGGCGCTTGAAACTATGGACACTGGGTTCGAGCCTCATTGGTGGGAACATCATGAATGACTCACTGTAGAGTGCAGGTATATCCAGATGACGAGTCCTGAATAGGACGAAATGCTCATCCTAGATTCCATTACCAGCCAACCTCCACCAATTAACTTCTAATTAAATGCCCAGACATCTTCGAAGCATCTGCACAAGAAGCCGATAGACATGTTAACCTGAGACAGAGCACTTAGGTCCAAACAATCAACGGGAAAGTTTAAAATTCAACTAAAGTTTATAAACATTGTTCAGGATAAAGTTATTACTATTATTATTAAACTGCCATTTCACTCTTCTATAGTTTTCTGCTACTTATCAGCTGAGTTCAGTTTTGTTAAAGTTGATATCTTTTTTCTGGTACTTTGAAGTACAAACCAATATTTCATTCATGAACTGACATTGGTTAGGGACCACTGGAAAACTTGAGAGTACTGGACAGCTGTTTCGTCTTAGTTTGGGACTCTTCATCAGTACGCACCCATCGAGATTCGAATCCAGGAGATTCTGGTTACAAGGCGAGCTTGTAGGCCATTGATCAGCCACTGGGACCCAATTCAATGGCCGATGAATTCTAACTTCTGCCAATTTACGACACAGCGTCATGAACCCCGGTGGGTGCGTGCTGATGAAGAGTCCCAAACTAGGCTGACGAAAGAGCTGTCCAGTGCTCCCAGCTTTTCCAATGGTTCAGTAACCAATGTCACCTCATGATGAAATCCTGTAACCAATTTAATCCCCACAAACCAACACTTGGGAAAACCGATATAATGAGACATATTTTCTCCTGACCCATAATAATCATTTGGATCTTTAGTTTTGTTCATATGAGAGAAATTTACTCGAGGGCCCGTTTTTTAGAAAAGTTACACAAACCAACATAATCTCATAAATAAATAAAGTCAAAATTGAATACAACCTAGGAAATAATTGTAGACTCATGCATAATGATAGTTGGACTGACCATTCATCTGTTCTCAATACAAAGCGATGTTTTACAAGCTTTCATCGTGAGCTGATATCAGTTAGGGAACCACTGAAAAACCAACTAAGAGTATTGGAGCAAGCCAGCTGTTTCATCACTGTGGTTTGGGAATCTTAACAAGTACGTATCCACCACAGGAGGTTTGAACCCACGACCATCCGAATAAAAAGCAACCACGTTGACCATTCATCAGCCACTGGAACCTGATCCAATGGCCAGCCCATGAATTCTAACTTTTGCCAATTCATGACAACTTCGCAGTCCCTAAAAAACCAATATTTGAAAATTCATCTCATGCTCACTAGAGACTGGCCCTATTCAGTAGTTAGTTACCTGAGGTTCTAGTGGGAAGCCGTGACCAGTAGGATACAGCAGGTTGAAGGTGAGGCAGTAAGTCGTCGTAGAAGGCATTACGAAGTGGTCGCGCTATGCCATGAATTGGCAGAATTTAAAATTCATGGGCCATTGAATCTGTTAATGGTCTTCGAGCTCTCTAGACTTGTAACCCAAAGGTCCTGGGTTCGAACCCCGTTGGCGAAGGCGTGCTGATAGGGATTCTCAAACTACGTAGAAATAGTAGCTGTTCAGTACTCCCTGCAGTTTTTTTCCAATGGTTCACTAAATGATGTCAGCTCATGATGAAATCTTCCATCCAATCAAACAAAATCTCAACAAAACAACCATTCAAAAGTTTCGGATGAAATTAATTCGTACTATAATAATTTGATGAAAGTTACTCTGACGAATAATACTGAGTTAGGTCTACGTATTTAGGCATAGAGCTTAGATAGCTCTACTTTTTCCTATTCTAGATCTCTAGATGGTTACTGATATACCAATCTGCCGGCTGGTTGAATAGTGCTTGAAATACATTCAGCGGATAGTTTATTTTACGCGAAAGCTTTTGATAGTCACTTCTACCATAACTTTTTAACCAATGATAAATTCTATTTTGATGTACTTGTGCTCTCTGAGCTGGATGGTTGGTTTGCGAAGCTTTCATCACCCTACTGGGTGACATCTTCAGCGCCGCATACTTCAGTTTGAAGTATGAAGTATGACGAAGAGTCCTCAGAACCAAGCTAGCCAAGATTAGAAAACAACAACCAGACAATACGCCTATAGACTGCGTAGTCAAACTATAAAAACAACCACTGTCAAAAATGAAACAACAACTACTACAAAAAGGACTAAACTGTTACAACACCGGAGATGCTTCGAAAACTGATTTCTCCGCTGCCCTTGAATCATTACTCAAATCATCAAACTTGAACGAGGAAACACAGAAAGAAATACGCCAAACAATCGTGCCAATGGTCAAACGGGAAAAACAACACACACAACTCAACTCTCAAGAACTAAAGGCCCTCAAAAAGCTGAAAAATAGGAAGGACATCGTCATCCTACCAGCCAACAAAGGAAGAACAACAGTAGTCATGAACAGAGAAGAATACACCAAGAAAGCTGGAGAACTACTCAAAGACGAGGATATATATCAACAACTCTCAACAAATCCCATACAAACATTGGACAGCCGCATCTAAAGGACCTTGAACAAGATCACCAAAACTGGAGAGATCACAAAACAAGACCAATGGCGAATGAAATCCACTGGACCAGTCCTACCCTGATTCTACGGCAGACCCAAAATACACAAGCCAAATATCCCGTTACGATAAATTCTATTTTTAGTTTATATTGTCAGCATAACTTGACTTTCTAATGACAACTAGTTCTGCATAATTTTCTACATAGTGTTTATTTATTTATTTCTTTTGCATAATTTTAGTTTAACATTGCTCAAGGAACGTGTATGCGAAAATTAATGCGTATGCATCATTGTGCTTTATGTGCAGGCGAAACTTTATCAAGACCTTGTCCTGGATTATGTTTAAGAATATTACTTAACTGTCTGAAACCACTGAATCAATTAAATCCACACTGGCATCGTTTTACAGGTAAGCAGAATGTTTTGTACTGACCATAGAAATATGGGTTATATTATTATTTATTATTATTATTATATCCTTTAATTCCTAGAGGAACATAGGGCTTCAGCTGCGTGTCTCCATTGCCTTCGGTTTTCTGACAACGTTTTCACCCCGCTCCAAGTCTGCCCACATGCTTTCATCTCCTCTTCACATGACCTCCTCCAAGTCACCCTCGTATTGATGACCAACTCGCCAATTCCCTTTCGGGTCCCACTCGACCAATGGCTTGTCTAGTGATGTCACTTGATGGATTCCTCAGAGTATGGCCAGTTAATTCACCTCCATTTCTTCCTGCCTATTTGTTTCCCAGTCGGTTCCTGGTTGGTTGGCTCATTGCCAGAGATCCCTTCCTGTTTCTGATCTTTTCTGGCCGGCCATCTGATCTTGAGTAGCAGTGAGCGAAGACAACTGTTAATGAAGGTGTGTAGTTTGTTTGCGATGCTTTTTATGACACGCCAAGTCTCTGATCCATACAGTGAGTAGCACTGACTTCACATTGGAGTTGAAAACTCGGATGTTATTTTTGACGGTGAGTGCAGTTGACCTCCACACAGGCTTGAGAGTAATGAAAGCTTGTCTTGCTTTTCCGATTCTGGCTTTGATATCCTCGTCAGTTCCGCCGGCCTGTTGTTGACACGATGCTTCCCAGGTAGGTAGGTAGGTAGGTGAAGGTGGTTGTTTCTTTCAGGTTCCTCACATTCATGCTGTCTGATTGTTGTCTGTCGTTGTTGCTGCTGTTGGCATTGGCCAGGAATCTTCATCACCCCTGTTTTCTCTATGTTCACCTGGAGGAAGTCCTAGCTTCTCTAGATGCTTCTTCTGACAGCTTGTCGCTTTTCACTTGCATATCTTCCAGTTTGTGGGAAATCAGATAAATATCATCAGCGAAGTCCAGATCCTCCAAGTTCTTTGTGTGAGTCCATTTTATGCCTGTTTCCTCACTGCCCGCCGCTGTCTGTCTCATTATCCAATCTACTGCAATCAGGAAGATCATTGGTGATAGTAGACAGCCTTGCCTCACTCCCGTCCTCACTTAGAAGGCTTCCGTAAGTTTCCCGTTGTGGATTACTTGGCATGCAGCATTGTCGTATAACTGTTGGATGCGATGTATAATTGTCGTCAGCACCCATAGTTGCGAAGTGGTTTCCAAATCACCTCTCGATCGACGCTGTCGAAGGTCCTTTCAAAGTCGATGAAGTTGAGATAGAGAGGTGACTGCCATTCCAAGCTTTGTTCAGTGATGATCCGTAGTGTGGCGAGTAGATCAATATATATGACTTGTTTCTCCTGAATCCAGCTTGTTCCGGTCGAAGATTTCATCCAGGGCTTGTTTGATTCTCTCCAGGATGATGCGGCTTAGTATTTAGCTTGGGATGGACAGAAGCATAATTCCGCGCCAGTTTTTGCATTGACTTAAGTCTCCTTTCTTTGGTAGTTTGAATAAGCATATTTTCTTCCAATCCTCAGGTATTTTGCCCTCTTTCCACACCTTCTCCAGTAATGGTGTCATCAAGTCCGCTGTTGTCTCTGGGTTTATTTTCAAAGCTTCTGCTGGGATTCCATCTGGTCCTGCTGCTTTTCCAGCTTTTAGTATCTTGATTGCATTCAGAACTTCTGATTTCGTCGGGGCTTGATGTTCACTGGTAGTTCTGCTTCCGTTGTTGGTATTATTGGGCGCGTTGTAGGTGGCGGTAGATTTAGAAGTCCTTTGAAGTGTTCAGCCCAGTGTTTTTTTGCTCTTCTTCTTTGGTGATTGACTTTCCATTGTCATCCTTTACTGGCTTAATCTGTGTCGAACTTTTGCCCGATAGGTGTCTAATTGTTTGGTAGAGTGTTGCGAGTTCTCCTTTGCCTGCAGCTTGTTCTGCTTCACTTGCCATGGCTTCATAATATTTTCATTTGTCTTCCCTGGCACTCTTCTTCATTCTTCTGTTCAGCGTATTGTAGCTTTCATTCAAATCCTGTTTTAGTTGCTCGTCGGTGCACTCCATAATCTTTTGTTTCACCATCCTTCTCTCTTCTATTAGTTTCCAAGTGTCCGCAGTGAGCCACTGTTTGTCCTGCCTCTTCTTTCTGCCTAGAACTTCCATGCAGCTTTGACTTTACACCGTTTTCAAGATGTCCCAATGCTTTTCGACGCCGACCTCTTCGCTAGTGTTGATTTGTGTCTCGGCTTTGTCCTTTTTGCTTGCAATAAAGATGTCCTTTGTATCTTGGTCCTTCAGTTTTTGAGTGTTGAACTTGGCTTGTGGTCTATCTGCAGCTCCTAATGCTGTTTGATGAGTTTGAATAATGCACGAACAACAGTGGTTTGTGCAGATGATTTATGGTACCATTGTTTACCGAAAGTTGACATGGAACCGCCAATACTTACATTTTTATAGTTTTTGTCCAAATAGCTTTAAACACAGACTAGGCAAGACTCTTTACTATATAGCGAGGAGAATGTGCTCGTCAGAGAAACTAGAGGAAGAATTTATGATTCTCGAAAAGGTGTTGAAAAACAACGGTTATCCTAAAAGGTTGATTAACAAATATGAGAAGATGTGAGGGCTAAAAATCAAACATATCATAGTTGAAAAAAAGCCTGTCTTCATTCAACTAGATTTTAAAGGTGAAAACACTAGCAAGAGCCTATCCTGCACCTAAGCTCGTTCCTATCCATCGAATAACATGCTCTTTGGTGCAGTTAAAAGTCGATAGATACCCTTCTCATGTTATCTCCAACTGTGTATACATATTTACGTGTATCTGCGGGAGCAGTAACATTGTTAGAACAGAAAGAAGGGCACCCTTGCGATTTTCTGAACATATGCCGAAAAGCCTACGTCTCAAGAGAACAAACTTTTATTATAGCGCTATTACCGAACATCTTGATACGGGCCATGTGTTGAAAATCGCGAAATCCTTTAAAATTATTAATAGAAAAGGGAGGTTAATTCCCCTCAAGTTTTGCCGAAGCAGTTTCTATCAAACGCTTGAAACTAGATTTATGTGTTCAGAAAGAAGCACTTATCAGTCTTTCCTTGCCAACCTGGTAACTGGATGTCTTTACTCTGTCTTTAATTTGATTAAGTAATCTTCGGCTTTAACCTAACCCACCTATGATATGATGTAATTTTGCTTCTCTCTTGTCTCTACGATTTGAGTTGAACTCAGTACATTGTTAGTTGGTTTATTAGTCACTCTGCATCTTACGCTTCTGTCGTCTTTATTGCGTAACTCCTTTACTACTGTATGCATACATTTGCTTTGTTTAAACTTGAACTTCCTGTGTAAAAACTATATAAGCGCAATTTTCTGAGCACTGTTCACTGATTGTGGAACCTTCTGTCAACTGACATCATGAAAAATGTGCAGGTATGTTAAAACTTTTCTGTACATAAACCTCATAATTTATTTAGGCTGTAGGCACATAGCTGAGGAGAAGCTAACGAAATAAGCAATGTTGGCCCATATTATTCTGCACAAACCACCATCGTTGTTCTTGCTTTATTCAAATATCTGTTTATTGATTAGCCCTTATATAATGGTGTGTATTACGGCAATTATTAATAATAATAATATGTTTTACGGGTTGATCACGGATTGATATCAGTTAGAGAACCATTGAAAACCAGGGAGTACTGGACAGCTGCTGTTCCATCCTAGTTTGGGAATCATCGGCAGTACGCACCAACCGGGATTCGAACCCGGGACCTTCCGGTTACAAGACAAGCTCGTATACCATTCAGCCACTGGGACCCGATTCAATGGCTCGTGAATTCTAACTTCTACCAATTCGTGATTTAGCGCGACCCCAACCATTGTCGTTGGTGGGACATCCATCCACACAGGTGACATCTAATTGGACCTCACTGCTCACGATTTTACACTAGAACTCAGGAAACTCCAACCTGTAGCAAGTCACTAGCGAGCATCAGATTAACTTTCACGAGCCACTGAATCGGGTCCCAGTGGCTGAATGGTATACGAGCCAGCTTGCCTTGTAACAGGAATGTCCCGGGTTCGAATCCCAGTGGGTGCGTACTGCCGATGATTCCCAAACTAGGATGAAACAGCAGCTGTCCAGTACTCCCTGGTTTTCAATGGTTCTCTAACTGATATCAATCCGTGATCAACTCGTAAAACATAACTAATCCTTACAAACCAAACTATAGAAAATAATAATATGTAAAAAAAGACAGCTTTGAGAGGAAACAGTCAAGGATGATGTAAACGGTTTAAAATGGCATCTACCTGTAAACTAGTCAATAAAATCACTGAAGAAATGTGAAACAGCCTTTGTTTGAAATAGACTACCGGGAAGAAATAAAAGGTACAAGTCTATAGCCACATTTATCTTCGGGACAAATCTGATCTTATCTAAATAATGTGGAATCACTTTGTGTGATAAAATTGTCATCATGAGACTCGTGAAGCCGAGTTTCTTGTAGTGTGATTATAGTCGTGTTGTGATAAGTATCATAGTATAAGAGATAGAGAGAGAGCGATTGCAGGTATATAATTTTGTTGAGAAGACAACAGCAATTAGTATCAGTGGTAACAGGAACCATAGTATAATGTACAGGTGTGCAACGGTCTCTAAACTGAGACCAATGAAATTATGTGTATTTTCCATTTATGGACGGATGCTGTGAGCTTGCTTAACCCCGTCCACGCGTCGGTCTCGTATTGCATTACCTCAAGGATTCGCCCATTTAAGGTCTCAGTGGCTGAATGGCATACGAGCTTGCCTTGTAACCGGAAGGTCCTTGGCTTGGACCCTGGCAGTGGATGCGTACTGATAATGATTCCCAAACTAGGCTCTTCAGTGATCCCTGGGTTTGTTCATCAGTGGCATAGCGGTTGGGACGCTCACCGACTATGTACATGGTCCGAGGTTCCATCTCTGACCATAGACACACTCCTTTACCTCGTCAAGCCAGAAATAAAGCTGGTAAAGAGGAAAGGTTGGACGTGAGGCT